CTTCTTCTTCTTCATCCTCATCCTCTTCTTCATCCTCATCCTCTTCTTCTACATCCTCATCCTCTTCTTCTTCTTCTTCTTCTTCCTCATCCTCGTCCTCTTCTACTTCTTCATCCTCATCCTCTTCTTCTTCTTCATCCTCATCCTCTTCTTCTTCATCATCCTTATCCTCCTGTTCTTCTTCCTCATCCACTTCTTCTTCTTCATCCTCCTCCTCCTCCTCCTCATCCTCTTCTTCCTCATCCTCTTTTTTCTTCTTCTTCTTCATCCTCATCCTCTTCTTCTTCATCCTCTTCTTCTTCTTCTACATCCTCATCCTCTTCTTCTTCTTCTTCCTCATCCTCATCCTCTTTTTCTTCTTCTTCTTCATCCTCTTCTTCTTCTTCTTCTTCTTCATCCTCATCCTCTTCTTCTTCATCCTCATCCTCTTCTTCTTCTTCTTCTTCCTCACCCTCATCCTCTTCTTCTTCTTCTTCATTCCTCATCCTCTTCTTCTTCTTCTTTTTCCTCATCCTCTTCTTCTTCTTCTTCTTCATCCTTATCCTCTTCTTCTTCTTCTTCATCCTCATCCTCTTCTTCTACTTCTTCTTCCTCTTCCTCGTCCTCTTCTTCTTCTTCTTCATCCTCTTCTTCATCCTCTTCCTCTTCTTCTTTTTCTTCTTTTTGTCTTCCTCTTGCAGGTCACTGCTCATGCGCAGATTTTTTATCGGCAAAAAATCGGCCGATTTGCCCACTAATTGCCGCGAAAATCGGCCGATCGGCAAAATCGGCCGATTTTTTTCCAACTTTACAGAAAAAAAAAAATGGCCAAAATACCGAAAAACGGCCGACCAAATAGCCCACTAACGATCCGAAAATCGGCCGATTTTATTTTCGGCCGAAAAATCGGCCGATTTTCGACCCATCTATGGCCTGCATTAGTGTTAATGTCAATGTCAGTGACAGTGTGTTTTATGTAAAAAAAAAAAAAAAAAAAAAAGACAAAAACAAAATGCGCACTGTTGTTTCTGGACTGTACTACGGGTACAAACAACAAATAACATACACATATATGGTATCGCTGCGATCGTCAAGAACTGGAGAATGTATTTTGGGTTGTTCTTTGGTGGTAGGTTATGGTCGTAACAAGAAACACACAGTTAAATTAAAAAAAAATGATTTTTTTTTACTATTTTGGCCCAGTTTTCCTTTAATAATAAAAAAAAAAAATTAGGAGCTATGCATGACCATTTACCACCAAATGAAAGCCCAATTTGTCCTGAAAAAAACAAGGTATAATACACCTGGATGTACAAAGTAGTTGTGACGATATGTACGGTTTTACTAACACGTCAACGTTGCAGAATTGTGCTTAGGCATTTAGATTTGTTTTACCCTTAGGCGTGAAGGGGTTAAGCAGAATCCATTAAAGGAGCGAACCCCATAATTTCACTCCTCAGTCTCTCCTGCAAGCTTGTGGGTGGGTTGGTGGCTGCCTTCAGGCCTTACACTGCGGTGGCTCCTTCCCGACTTCCCAGGCTGTCCTCTCTCAGGGAACAGTGAGGCTGAAAGATCCTCCCTTCCAGTTCCTCCACCTGTTGGCAGGCCCTTCTCCTGGACCCCCTCCCTGGCTCCACACTCCATTCTGCTCAGTCCATCTTCCACCCGAACTCTCCAGCTGCTGACAGGCTTGATCACTCTTAAGGGCTGTCCTGAACCCATGTCAAGCCTCCAGCTTGGGGATTGGCCAGGATCCCTTGAGAGTGCAGACCAGCTACTCCCTCCCCCCCCACCTAATTCTAGAGACTCTTCCAAGTCTCTAGATCAGAGGGACGTTCCAGACATCTGGGCTGCAGAGCCTCTCAGCCCTGACTGAAAATTGACTCCCCTTTGACTAGTTCACCATGCTGCTACTCTGCCTCTAACTTAAAATATAGCTCTGTCTAGCTGTCTAGCTACCTAGGAGGGTGCTACACTGGGATCACCATTATTACTAGGAATGTTTGCTTGTTTTCCTGGTGATTGTAGTCGATGTAGTCTGTCGATGATGAGAAAAATGTGTGGCCAAAAACTATACAGGTAAACGTCTCATCCCCTCTGACACTTGTAAGCACAAATCTACTGCTCCTAATGGTAAATCAGGTTCTGCTAGGGGGAAATATCATAGTTCAGTTAGGGCCGGGGCTTAAAGAATTTTTTAGAGCTTTGTCTAGGATTTATGTGGGCATTAGTTACAGTATCTATATGCACTCTAGAGACTGGAAACAAAGTTCAGCAATGCCATGAAGGTCACCAGGGGATCTAGGGGATCTAACCCTTCACTATCCAATCCAAAGCGCTATAATAGCTGGAGTTCCGTGTTGATCACCCAAAAAAAAGAAGCAGAATCACAATACAGTATTTGATAAAGTCCTGAAAGTTTTTTTGGCAACTAAAGAGTTAACTATTGTCTGCACACTGTACCATTTTCCACTGAAACTCTTGTGGCTATTTGTATCTTCCTGTTATTCAGTAAGTCTGGTTTCCACTGAGATCTCCTTGAAGCCAAGATCTTTTACACTGAATGAGAGAATGTATGCAGAGGCGGCAACTGTAATCTATTGTGTGGCCTCAGGCATAGATTAAATGCTTGCTGTTGCCTGGATCCCAGAAAGGTGTAGGTGTAAAGAAACTGGCAGACAGACCTAGAAAAGAAGGATTAATATGTTGTAATGAAAAACATTTTCTTCCCACCCTCCAAAAGCAGAAATGTTCTCATACTGTAAGAAAGTTTACAGAGACCAATACAATATATCTTTACAAATAAAAAGAAATGTTATTATAGTGTCACTTCACCCAGAACTCATATTATATTTCAGGTTTTGGTGGATGCAGTTGGTAATGCAACGAGAATCATTGCAAACCCCAAAGCGGGCAGGAATATCCAAGCTACAAGATTGGTGGGAAAATGGCAGGAATCATGGCAGAAAGCTCCCTCCAATCAAATCTTGGGGAGATGTACAAAACCAGCTCACCAGACTCCTCCAACATCTAATGGATTGTTTTTGGGTGGACAGACCCTCCAACAATGAATATAAATTGATTAGAATCAATATACGTGGCAGTGCTGTGTACAGGAAATAAGAACATTTGTTTTTATTAATTAAAATGTTGCAGGATGACATTTATTTTCAGCATTTTTTTCTTTTTCCTTTTTTTAGTGCTTATCCTCAGAGGGCCACTGAGAATATACCCAGATCTCCCACAATAGCATAGAGGATGCCAGTCAAATGCAAGAAGAGTCCCACACACACTGACAATTCAAGCTCAGTCTAGGGGATCAATAAAAAAAATCATATTTAAACTTAGCGCTCTTCCTGCTATGGGATTAAAATAAAATGATGTGATTATTAAGTTTATAAGGCTCTGCAATCAAACCACTGCTCAGGCAGTGGATAAATTACAAAAGCAGGCTGTATTTGACTAATGCTAAAACTCAGTGGGGTTATTTACTAAAGCTGCATGGTGCAAAATCTGGTGCAATTTTTTAGCCCTGGTTCACACTGTGTGGGCTGGTTGCGAGTACGGAAATTGCATCTGTTCCCAAACCTACAACCACCCACAGCCAAATCACGCTGCTCTTACGAGACCCACTGAGTATGCATTTCAGCCTGCAGTGTGTTTTCAGATGTAGAAACTGCTGGGAAATCACATCGTCAAAAAGACCATGCAATTTACCTGAAGCTGCGGTTTTTAAAAAAGTGCCTGCACTTTTTTTTGGGGAAAACACGGCCAAAGCAGCCCATTCCAATGAATGGGCTACTGTACCCACGCAAAAGTGGGTGTGAACCAAGCCTCATTGTCAAAGCTTCATTGAAAAAGCTAAAGTCAGAAGCTGAATGTCTACCATGCACAGCTGCACCAGATTCTAGGTCCACCAGTTTTAGTAAATCCCCCCTAATGTGTCAATGCAAAGAAAGAAAGAAAGGGAAACAAGTGTATTAAAAGATACAGTTACCTAAAAACAAAAATTCCGGAGGTATGGATTGTTTTAATTAATTATTGTGATGCTAACTAGGATCAGCTTTGTGACAGATCATCACAACAGTTGTGGCCAGTGCCTTGGTGGCTACCGTGATCCATACTAGGCACATCCATTGCCTCCTTGACCCTGGACATGACTCTGCTGTGACATTACCTGATGGACGTTTGTGAGTGCAATATTCATTGTGTATTTGTTTTACTCATTCAATAAAATCTATACTGCACCAGCGGCTGCTTGGGACCTTTATCCCCTTCCCTTAGTCTAGGGCATGTATTTTTATTATTTATTGCTGAAGAACTTTAACAGGAGAGGAGTTTGGGGTCATAGGATATTCCAAAGTGATCAATACAATAATGGGGGGACAAACTTCTCACTAATCTTCAAACAGTAGCTCTACCTGGAGGTAACAGGGAATGTCCAGTATATCAAGGACCCTACAGCAGCAGTCCAAATAGCCACTTCTGACACTTAGTTCCCTTCTGGCACTTGCACAACTAAACATATCCACAAAGGTCTTACCTACAGTGTCACATGAGCTGTCTACTACCCAGCATTCACAGGTACTGTAGATCCTCAATGAGGGAAATTACAAGATCCTTCTCCAGACCACGATTTCAATGTAGTGTCCTCCCTCCAGCAAACATTAATTGGCAACCTTCTCCAGGCCCCCAGCCCAGCAGTTGCTGAGAACCAGACTGCAAAGCTGTCTCCAGGGGCAGCAGCCCCAAGAGAACCAGAACTCTCACAAGCGGGAAAAAGGACACTCTGTCCAGGTCTCCTGCACATTTATATCCTCCCCAGCCACCTTTTGGATCCTTCCTTCCAGAGATTGACTGTGGCATGCTAAATATTCCGCTGATCATTTGAATCTCCCTGTCCTATACTCTGGAAACTTTTTTCAGAGGCAGGTGGGAGTAATCAAAATCTCAGCTCAGGAAACACTGAACAGATCAACACGATCAATCACTACTCCACTCACTACAATGGAGCCAAAAACTAAATTAACCTGGCAGCCAAAGGCTTGGTTCACGTGTGTGCAGGTGGTGCCGCTGCGGATCCGCACAAAAATCTGTGCAGCCGCACCACCCACACATAAAGAATGCGGATCCGCGGGCAGGTGCCATTAATTCTAATGGCACGCCGCCCGCATTGGATATCACAACCGCACTGTGAACCAAGGTTCCCATGCGGCCTGCAGTTTCCAAAGAAGTGGAGGGACTTCTTCTCTGCGTGTCCCAGGGCGCGGGAGTCCATTCACATGAATGGGCTCTCGTGTCCGCGCAAAACGCAGCCCGCACAGCCGCATATATGTGAACCAGGGCTAACTAGAAGAGGGTGCTATGCTTTATCGATTAACCAACACAATTACATGGCAAAGAAAGAGAAATAAATAAATAATATATAACACATTTAGGTCAGGAGAAGGGAAAGAAGAAAATAATATTTTTTATTATCTGGTGCTGCCAAGAGTGTGTACCGGAATCTCAGCAGCACCATATTGCATGATGTAATGAGACATTCAACCAAAGCTCTAACTTGATATAAGCAATAACATAACCAGGTACAGCAACCATTGAAAATGTGAAAATCATGCTAACAATTACACCCTGTTCCAAATTATTATGCAAATTCTATTTAAGTGTCACAAAGATTAAATATTTTGTTTTTCAGTTTAACTCATGGATGGCATTGTGTCTCAGGGCTCTTTTGATCACTGAAAACAATCTCGGACACCTGTGATAATTAGATTGGCAGGAGAGCCCAATTTAAGGAAAAACTACTAAAGGAGGGTGTTCCACATTATTAAGCAGAGCACCATTTTCAAGCAATATGGGGAAGAAAAAGGATCTCTCTGCTGCCGAAAAGACTGAAATAGTTCAATGCCTTGGACGAGGTATGAAAACATTAGATATTTCACGAATACTTAAGCGTGATCATCGCACTATTGGATTTGTGGCTGATTCAGAACACAGACGGGTTTGTGCGGATAAAGGCACATTGAGGAAGATTTCTGCCAGATCCATGCATCGGATCAAGAGAGCAGCTGCTAAAATACCATTACATAGCAGTAAACAGATATTTGAAGCTGCTGGTGCCTCTGGAGTCCCACAGACATCAAGGTGTAGAGTCCTCCAGAGTCTTGCAACTGTGCATAAACCTTCTATTCAGCCACCACTAACCAATGCTCACAAGCAGAAACGGCTGCATTGGGCAGAAAAATACATGAAGACTAATTTTCAAACAGTCCTGTTTACTGATGAGTGCCATGCAACCCTGGATGGTCCAGATGGATGTAGTAGTGGATGGTTGGTGGACGGCCACCCTGTTCCAACAAGGCTGCGATGTCAGCAAGGCGGTGGTGGAGTCATGTTTTCGGCCAAAATCATGGGAACAGAGCTGGTCGGCCCCTTTAGGGTCCCCGAAGGTGTAAAGATGACCTCTGCAAAGTATGTGGAGTTTATGACTGACCACTTTCTTCCCTGGTACAGAAGGAAGAACTATGCTTTCCGTGATAAAATCATCTTCATGCATGACAATGCACCATCTCATGCTGCAAAGAATACCTCTGCATCAATGGCTGCTATGGGGATAAAAGGAGAGAAAGTCATGGTGTGGCCTCCATCCTGCCCTGACCTCAATCCTATTGAGAACCTTTGGAGCATCCTCAAGCAAAAGATCTATGAGGGTGGGAGGCAGTTTACATTCAAACAGCTGCTCTGGGAGGCTATTCTGACATCTTGCAAACAAATTCAAGCAGAAACTGTCCAAAAACTCCCAAGTTCAATGGATGCAAGACTTGTGAAGCTGCTATCAAATAAGGGGTCCTATGTTACAATGTAACATGACCTGTTAAAATGTTTAAAAAGTTAAAAGGTTGTTAAAAGTTTGATTGAAATAGCTTTTGATTTCAGTAAATATGCTGCAAACACAACAAATGACAATTTTCAGTTCTTTACAACCTATATAAAGTGTTTTGAAACTTACTGTGTGTAATAATTTGGAAGAGTGCATTGTAAGTTTTTTATGTTTAAAAAAAATACTGTTATCATTAGGAGGTTTGTTCAATAAAATGTGAATTGTACTCTTAATAGTTGATAACATGAGAATTATGCTGTTATTTACATCAATTATTTAGGTAAATGAGAAAAATATCATTTGCATAATAATTTGGAACAGGGTGTATAATTAGGTACATGCAGTAGTACTGCAGAAAGAATATTTGTAGATAAACAGAGATTCTACATTCATAATAATGTGGTAATAAAAATCATCATGTGATGGAATAAACTAATTACTTTTTTATAATCTGGAATTTTAGAACAAGGGATGAAATAAATAAATACAATAAAAAGGCATGGGAATGTTAATAAATATCTCTTTATAACTAGGCCCTGGTGGCAAATGATGCTCTGCAATGTGTCAGTTTTCTTTGTGCATCGCCTCAATATCTGCTGTATGCTAATTCTACATAAATGCGATGGCTTTTAACAATCAGAACTTCTATTATGTGCCTAAAATGAAATGTAAAATGTTTCACAGCAGTGTCACACAGGGCAATGGGATTACAGAAACTTTGCTTACCAACCTGTATTACCAGTTCTTTTGTGTATGTGAATGTACTAATATTATTCACACTGGCTTAGGAAAACTGCCATACGCAGCAATTACTCAATGCAACAATTATTTAGAACCTGAAGACTGTAATGCAATAAGTAAATGCCAGAGATCGAATGTACTTTACAACGCAGTGATCAATCACGCCGTGCATTTCATCATTTCACGCCCGCAGGCTACTTAACAAATACTATTTGCCAACAAGTGTAAACAAAACTCAGAGAGGACAGAGTGGTAAAAACCTGCCAAGACACACATATTCCTGATGGGATCAGACCATAAAAGGCGCATCCTATTGCACAGAGAACACAAAGACTGCCCCAACAGTTCCAGACAGAGACGGTGTAATTTTTTGCAAATTAATTATACCACGCAGACTGTCTGCAGAATAGGAACACCCCTTTAATAATCATCCTCGCACAGCTGGGAGGTTTTGCCAGTCTATGCAGATTCAAGTAATACACTGTTTCATGCAGTACTAAAACTAAGTATTTTAAAATGCCAAAAAATATCTTATTATTATAACAGTTCAAAAATGCCCTGCCATTTTTGCTCTTACATCTAAATGTACATACTCCATGTTATTAAAATACATACCCTTGCCCCACTGCTATTATGAAAAAAATGGGATCCAGCCATTAGGACACGGAGCCCCAAGAGTTATACTGTATAAATATAATGGAGCCTGGAACATGAGGCTCTAAAGACTTGTGTACGCAGGTACAATCAAATGCAATATTTTTCAGGTGCTTTTCAGATGATTTGTTATGTGGACTCTTTTTCAATTTGCACTGAATCCACACTCCGGGTGCACCAGACATACGTATGTGAACAGGCAAAATACAAACATGTCATGAGAATTGGATGTGGTTCAAACCGCATATGTGTGGAACCAGTTCTAATGTGTCTGAGTTGCTTTTATTTGCCTTCGCTGCTTCAAGTTGCTTTTGAGTTTCATCAAGCAGCTTCCATGTTAAATAAAGTTGGTTCTCAGATACTTTGATCTGATTTCAAGTTGCGTTAAAGGATAAGTTCACCTTTAGGAACATGTTACACGTTGCACTTGTTTTTAGGGTGGAACTTGTAACACACAGGTGTCAAAATGGTGGCCCTCCAGCTGTTGCCAAACTACAAGTCCCATGAGGCATTGCAAGACTGACAGTTACAAGCATGACTCCCGAAGGAGAGGCATGATGGGACTTGTAGTTTTCCAACAGCTGGAGGGACACCAGTTTGATACCCCTGATAACATGTTCCCATAGCCGCAGCTGCACCCGCCACAAATCTGTGAATGAGTGACACGGCCGTGTGGGCTCAGACCTGCATGGCCCTGCTGTTATCAAATCTGACAGATAGTATGGGGGGAGAAGTTTCCCCGTACTATCTGTCAGATCTGAGAACAGCACAGCCATGAAGGGCTCAGCCCACACTGCCGTGTCACTCATTCATAGAGTTGACCTGTGGGCGGCTGTGTGCTTGTAGTTTTCAATGAACTACCACGGCGCTGTGGAGCACTGTGGTAGTTCATTGAAGCTTCCTGTGAGAATATCTGCTTGGCTGTACATCCCATATGGCAAGCACATATTCTGACAGGTCTGCAGGAGACCTGCATGGCATCAGCACTCTACTGAACGCAGGTGCAATGCTTTCCAGGCTCCTGCAGACAAAAATAATAAATGCACATTTTTTTACCTGCACAAAAATGTTCATTTATCATTTTTGTCAAAAAGGTGAACTTATCCTATAAAGTGCTTCTGAGTTAAAACGAGCTGCTTCTGAGTTGCCTTCCTATTCACCTTGACTTCTGCGGAGAAGAAAAGCAGCACAGGTAAGAGTCAGTGTTCATGAGCCCTACAAGGACATTGAGCACGTCAATATCATTTTAAATTTACTTGCTGAAATTTGATTTGATTTAATTTGCTGCATGCTTACTCTTGAAGAATTTCTTAGATTCCATGATTGATTATGTAATTTATTGTTTATCTCCTAGTATGTATAGGCCATATCTAACATTGGCCATTCTTTATGACAATATGGTTCACTGGTACAATAAGGAAGCTATTGAATGCCTGATCTTGTGCGGGTTGTATAACTTGATATAATTTAAATTGGACCACTTACTGGTTATGTGTAATTGATATTATAGCAGTATGAGATGTTTTAAGTGACGACAAGGCTGCGGCTCTTTGTGGGTTAATCCGGAAGTGATATGCTGGTCTCTATATAAGCCCCTGACACTATGGCCGTGGCATCCTGAAGAAGCTCATGTGACTCAGTGGGCAAAACACGTTGACGTCACAACGTCGTGACGCCCACGCTCCAGGAGCCACCATGCGGCTTTTCCAACCTGCCATGTCACACTAGGCATTCACTTTGTAGCTACATGCATTGAATCCTTATATGTGGAAATTGATAACAGTAGCATCACACAGAGAGTCAGGACCAACTGATGTGAGTGACCGTATCCGGAGTGGTGAGCCAAACTACATCAGGACCAGGTTGTGACCACATTGGGGGTTGGTCACGGGACTATGATTGCTCTTTGGAGCCTTACACACCTGGTGTCCTCCATTTGCCTGTATGAAGTGAATGGTTGTGGCTACCTATATCGTATATCTGCAATCTTGACATTGAACTCCAGCTTGCTGCTCAAGCTTGATCCTATCTGCTAATTCTGCTAACTGTGATGGTTTCTGCTGCTATCTCCCCTGGAGATATTGCTATACTTATTATCTATGCAGAATGATTTGATTGCATGTATGGACAATTTAATACTAGCTTGCGTTTCCAGCATTGATTGAAGATATTTACCTTTACTGCTGGACATTATGGACTGCCATTAATATATATGTCCATTGATGCCAATTTTGTCCGTACCTCTTGCCCAAGCTCTTTAAGGGGCCAGCACAACTATATTTCCACTACAATACTGTCATATATGACATAGTTGATCCATCGGTCTAACACAATTGGTCATAATTGTATTGTCTTTTGTCTTACTCATGTTTCTATTTTGCATTTAGTGCCAGGGGCGGACTGACCATTTGGAAACTCAGGCACTGCCCGAGGGCCCGGGGTCAATAGGGGGCCCCATGAGATGCCCCTGGTACCTTTTTCATAGGCTTTTTTGAGCTTGGGCAAGGACACAGGGGCCCCATGATCCCCTATTGCTCGGCGGCCCCATGAGTTGTCAATTCGGCCCTTGTTTAGTGCATGTCCCAGTGTGTGTGGTGGGTATGTCTGTAAACCCGGGCGGTGGTTTTTCTGTGTATGACAACGTTGTCATTTGGTTTTAATTGTGTAGGGTAGAGGGATATTAGTTACTATTGACATTTTGATATTTTTCAAATAAAATATTTTTTAAGCCGCAGATTAGTTGTCTGTTAAGACTTCTTAATGTGGGTCTCTTGCTCACATATTGAGTTCTTTGTTCTGTGTCTTTTTGGTCCTGAGAACACCACCCTTATCTTTGGGTAAGTCAGCTGTATATTTTGTTTATATTTTTCTTGCAGTGGATCCCGTTTATGTTTTTATGATTTCTTGCATGCTTACTCTGTTAATGTCCAGATAGCAGCCAATAAATTTCAGTCTGGAAATCATACTTCTGCCCAACAGTGGCTGCATAGTTCCAGCAATGATATCACTGTAAGACAGGTACCCATTGCCTTCCACTGACCACCAATGCCTAGGAAGAAGGGGGGGGCCTTTCCCAGTTCACCAATTCGCCTGGGAAGGGGGCCAGGGGAATTCCACTGACTAGCAATCCCTGGGGGAAGGGAGGGGGACGTAATTCTTCCCTCCACTGGTGACAATCATGCTGACATTGATGATGGGATTGAGGGCTGCTAGTTAGAGGATGAAGCAGTCTATACCAGAAAGTGTCTTTCAGTAGTTTACTGAATCAGTAACATGAAGTGAAGATAAATCTCCTGCAAGGAGCAATGGCACACAGTTTCAAGGTTGGAAACATTCCATAGCAAAGTTCAGAGAAAGTAGAACAGAGAGGAGCAGCCAGTATCTACAGGAAAGGTGGCCAGAATCTAGAATCCCCAAGTAGTCCCAGAAATGGCATACATTCCTCACATTGTTCCTGACTTCACCTCTAAGGGAAGCTAAACAAATGAGATCCAACTACCTACATGTTGAAATGGTACAATCTAACCACAAAGACCCCACAAACACTATATGCAGGCCTGATGTACCATGGTGCCCTCTGCTGGCAGGGGCAAGCTGACATTTGGCATTAACAACTCCCTTGATTTCCACTTATAGGGACCTCTAATAGCTTAAAGGGGAGTTACAACAGGCCACCTATGTACCCTACACATACTCCTGACCAAGATGTTTATCGTCTAAATAGCTGTGAAAGTGAAGGTAGAGTTTTCACAGCTTCTCCACAGAGATTACTTGACAACTGTGACATGAAAGAAAGTAATAAATAGCTTTCTGCACTCTCTTTGAACATCTAAAATGTTATGCTTCTCATTCACATGGTACATCTTTTAAACTATATTTCAACTCTGTGTAAGAGAGCACCTACCTACTGCTATGGCATGTCTCACTCACTGGCTAAAAAGCTGCAGAATCTTACTTGGCAGTGAGGTGCAACAATGAAGAGACATGCCAGTGGTTTAGTGAACAAAGGAGTCATGCCATAAAAGCAGGTGAGTGTTCTACTTTTTTAGCAATCCTGTCAATGGTGAGTAAGCCAGCTACATGATCTCCAAGATGACATAGCCCTGAAGCTTAAAGAGTAACTCTACCATGTTGAGTTCCAGTTCCATCTGGTTCATCAATGTACATTGCAGAGATTTTAACAAACATTGTTTCAGAGTCCTACCAGTTTCTGCTCTGAAGAAATAACTTTTACCATGTCCTGGTTAGAGTGATTCTGAATGGGAGTGACTAATTAGTTATAATTAACTGATCTGCTTTCAGGGGTCTGATGAAAAAAGTTGCAGTGTATGCATTCCTTTAGAAGTGATAAACCCTTAGGGAGTATTTTACCAAAATGACATCTTTGCTGCAGAGAATGCCATAAACATGACCTGTATCTTAGTGCAGATTTATTTTTTTTTAAGCATTCTGTACACCAACTGTGTACAGAACACTTCAAGGTTGCCATATTGCAATGAATGTTTTTAGAAAATTACAAAAACTGCAGTTTGAAAAAGAAAGGTAATTTTTCATAACATTAAATTATAATTTGGCTTGTGCAGCAATTGTATATGCTATATATATAATTTTTATTTGCTATATTTTTCCACAATTGTGAAGTTATCCTTTAAGCTACATTGTTATGTTTGAAAAGCTTGATTATACTACTAGAATCATCTCCACATTATCTGTTGGCTTGAGAAAGATGGTTTGGGAAGAAAGTAGACAATGCATGGTTGACTTTCAGTGACTCAAGAACACTTGATTGCTTGCCAGGTCTCTGGACATCTGGGAGTTCCCTTCAGCTCAACAGCTAAGGGCTCATGTACACAGAGTGTTTGGAAAACTCTTCTGACCGCTGAAAACTGACTGCGTCAGTTTAGCCGCATTTGCGTTTGGAAGCATTCATAAAAGATAACCTCAGGAGACCCTTCCAAATGCCCTGAAAAATAGTAAATAATTAACTATTTCAGACATTTTGAGAGGAATAGAGAGAGCAGAAGGAGAGAGAGCAGAAGCAGAGAGCGCAGTATGTGTTGAGATTACCTGTCTTTTCTGGTTGTCTTCATTATGGATCCAATCATGAGCATAATGAAGCACTTTCTACCATTTTTTCCTTCACGCAAAACCTGAAACTGACTGCACTGGTGTACTAGGTCTTTTTTAATACATGGAAAACACTTTGCATGCCTTTTTGGTGAAAAAGGAAAAAAGGCTCTGGACAGCATCTGGATATGGACCTGTCAAAGAACGTGTCTAAACGCAAACGCTTGTAAACGCGGTAAACCAGTTTACAAGCATTTACAAATGTTTGGCGTTTTGGTGTGTTCAAGAAAACGACTGTGAACGCAACTGATTGTAAACTACTGAAAACGACTGTAAACTCAACTGCCTGTAAACCACTGTAAACGACTATGTGTATATGGATACATAGGAATACATAAAGGAGAGTTCAGGGGCTGATGAAAAAAAAAAACGCTCAACAGCTCCTGAATGTCAGTTTAGCAGCTGCAGTGTACATGCTCATGTACACAGGGCATAATAGTCTGAAAGAAATTGTGATGGCATTACATCAGCTGGAGTGGTGGGCTGGAGAGAAGAATAGAGAACATGGCCCCATACATCCTTAGTGGTCATTTACACTGGCCAGGCAAGTATAGGCAGCCTGTGTTTCCGTGCAGCACCCAAGCATGGGACAAGCATGCCTGAACACATGGAGGTTTGAAGTACGAGGTAAATAAACGAGGGAAGGGGAGGCAGAGTGAGTTTAAGATATTCTCACTGTTATTGTCACCATTATTGTGGCTGTCATTTCCATTATCACATATTGCCTGTTTGTCCCCTGTGTATGGACATAACTGCTTATTTGTTGCTGCGTATTGTTACGATTACCTGCTTGTTTCTCTCATATTGTCACCAGGGGCGGACTGACAACTCATGGGGCCCCCGGCAATAGGGGATCATGAGGCCCCTGTGTCCTTGCCCAAACTCCAAAAAGCCTATGAAAAAGGTACCAGGGGCATTTCATGGGGCCCCCTACTGACCCCGGGCCCTCGGGCAGTGCCCGAGTTTCCAAATGGTCAGTCCGCCCCTGATTGTCACCACTTTCTACCTATTGCTCTCACATTCAGGCATTGTCAGGATTTCCCATTTTTGCCTCTTTATTGTTATCTGTTTGTTTTGAAGACCATATCACTATAATTTAATCCACTGCAGGCCTGTGAAGATCAAACCACAGTACTGTTAGCCCTACATTTGTCCATGTGCACCACTATTAAAACACTGCTTCCATTTCAGCGTGGCATGCTCTACTTTTAGCCTCTACTCTTACCCCAACCTTAGGCTCATTGACAATTGGAAAGCTCCCAGGCATGGTTATTGCATACATTGATGTGCATTATGACGCTCATTATAATGGCCAAAGAGAGGAATCACAGCAAGAGACCAGGCATCTGTTATACACCAGGAAGGGTGTCAGCAGAGGATTCTTCAGCCTCTGTAGCACTGGAAAAGAGCAAAGATCAGCAGTGTGGGCGGCAGGAAGGATGAGTTTTAGATGACCTTTACCCTGTACATTACCATTCATCCATATGGACATTAGCCTTGCTGGAAACCACACCAAAGATGAAGCAAGCAGGATTTCGTACAGTGCGCCACATTACAATATGAAAATGCTTTAGTGCAAAATATATAAACAAAAGACACACACCTGCCATGTCCCCCATTTATTTGGACCATAAACAAACAAGCAAGCATCCCTGATTTCTCAGGATTGTCCTAGAATCATAGCATCGTCCCAGCATCCCATGGATCCAGGCTGTGTTCTTTGATCGAGTGTCAGAAAACTCGTTCTAGCACCTAGCTCCAATGGTTTGCACAACCTGTTTGTCGGAGTGACTTCCTACCTGTTGCAAAGTTCCGGAAAACGTACCAGAAAGCACTTAAATGCACATGTCCTTATTTAAGAAAAAAAGAGGGGAAAGATCAGAAACACATCCGTAACTGAGTTTCTATGGTGTGATCTAGCCTCAAGCCCGTGTAATGCGCTCGCAGCAGGGGCTTTAGGGAGCTCAGCAATGCTACGAAAGGGGTGGAAACAGAGCACACTGTGCAAGCTTGGGAGTTTAAATGAGGGGAGAGCTTGCTCCTGTGATGCTGGCGGCGAGCATCCAACGGTTAGCGCATACTTTCAACAGGACAGGATGGGGCACAACTACCTGTAAACATTTTTTGGCCAGGCTTCAAGGGGAATGCAAATGGCCTACAGATATGAGTAATTTGATATGAGCTGTATAAGGCTTTTGAACACAGTGGGGTCCTTTGTATGGGGTCCCGGTGTATTTGGTTAAAAAGATGAGCTAACACTTTAGCTGTGCCCATTTAACATTTAGAAATGT